TCTCTTGACAACCCCTTGGACCCACCCTGCCCATGTTTGTACACTACCAGAAATAGATACCCTGAGAATGCATCTAAAATGCATTTAACATACCTCAGGATATAAATTGAATCTCTTTAATGTATTGATAGTGTCAGGATATTCAGTGACATTACAATGCATTATGTTGTAGACACCATCCAGAAATGTGGGAGCCTCAACTATGGTCTTGTAGTATGAGTAATACAAACCCTAAAATCATAAAAAATAAATTATTATTATCATTGTTTTTTTCCATTTCATTTCAAGCACCCCCTCCCCCCCCCTAATGCTGCTCCAATTTTTGGGGAGCCCCTCCTTAACATCTCCATACCCCCCTTTGGCATTAAATGTACTTTCCTTAACTACACAACAAGCATGGAATCCTGTCCTTTCGGCCCCCTTTGAATCTCAAGTGAATAGGGAGTTCTAGATACGCGTTTATGACAAATGCCAAACTTCAAAATTGATCACATGATCACTGTTTTTCTGTATTAACGCTCCATTTAGTTCTTTCGCGATTGTGTATAAAATGGATCACTTTTTTGTACATAAGCTCATCGCTGTCCCTTTCGAATCGTTTTTATGTTTGTTTGAAATTTTGAGACAAAACATAAAATCCAATTTAACATTTGGCGTTTGCAATAAACTTAAATCTAAAACTCTCTAATAATAACATTGTAAACATGCAACAAAATTGCTATTTTGAATTTTACATAGCTAGTTACATTATTTTCAGCAAGATAACCAATATAAATAATAGTTTGATTGACATCTCCTAAGATTACTSAGCAAATAAATGATTAATGTATTATACAACAATAACATTTAGCTTATAAATTGAAATGAGTATCCTAAAAATTACTTGGAAGGTGTAAAATCAAACTATCTGGCATTTAAAAATATATTAAAACAAGCAAGAATTTAAAGCATGTTATCCAAATACAAAGAAACTTTGCAAACACCTAATGACATTTATGCCACACATTATATCTCCTTTTATAGTACAACTTGGTGGAGGTAACTAAGTAACCAGCATCCTAGCAACTGCTCATTATTAATATTATGTTAATGTTGCCTTAATCTCTAATGGCTGTTACTTCCCATGCTAAACTGCAATGTAAATATCATCTTTTAATTGCTTTTCTTTTGTATCCATTTTTCCGGTACTTTTTTTGTAATTTAAGCTTATGCATTTTTAGAAGAATATAACTAAAATACTTAAGATCCAATGATTACACGATGTAAAACAAAATTCTTACAAAGTAATACCACTATTTTAATTCTCACCATTTCAGTTCGAAATGATAACTCCCTTTCCAATGCAGATAAATGAGAGAAAAAGCGTTCATTTTCGAACATTCGTGACACGTGAAGGCTGTAAAAAGAGCAAAAGCGTWKGATTTAAAAGATTTGGTGTAAATCGTTCAATTAAGTATAATTGAAACGTTTAAAATGAATTCTTTGACAGATCCGTATTATTGCGCTTYATTGATTTTTAAAATAAACTGAAATGAAAAAACTTTTTTTCAAGTTTTTTAAGMTTATTTCTTTTGTTATCAAGTTGTATATAAGGGAACTGTTTAGTGGTTTGTAYTAACTCACCTGTGTAACACACCAAAGGTCAGAGCTGCAAATTAAAGTTCTACTGTAAGTTCTTATTATTGTAAAGACATTYTAAAAACATTAAACAAAATCCCTACCAATGRCTACTACAGCAACAGCATGGCCGCCGATCATCCAGTTCGACTCTCCTTTACCCTGCTTTGAACWGCTAGTTTTCTTTGAATTTCCAGACTGAGACACTTTTGACTTTGTATTTTGTTCTGCCTTCTTTTTCTTTAAAGGCATTTTAAAAAAGAAATCAAAATTATGTGTTTAAATTCACCTCAATCAAAATAAATCTCACGCTGATTCTATAGTACGAGCCAGCAACCTATTTGGTCAGTGGTAAAAGTTTACAGAACAAATCACACAGGGATCCCATAAAAGTTGTTGATAAGGACCGCTACCCGAATGACACCCCACTATTACAATAGCTATATAAGCAGACAATGCATACAATAAAATCAATAAATCTTTAATTAAAAAACACGCTAAAATTTATGTATAGTTTACAAGAAAGCTGATAAGATTTTTTAAAATCATCCTCATGCACAAATGTTAAATTTGAAATAATTTTTTTCTCTAAACAATTTGATAGATACTGTGTATGAATACGTAGGATTCAATTCCTTATTTTTAATTTGTCATTGATTTCAATCGATCACTGAAACTGATCACTTTCAAATTTATAAAATACGAGCGATCGACATGTGTCAATCAATCGGCATTCTGCAGTTCATCTACGTTCATTTAGTAAAATGAACAAATAAAGAATTCACAGATGTCGGTAGTTCAGAAAACGTTGAATACTAAAGACCGCAATGCATTGTGTACAAGTACATAAATGGTTATATACTTATGATTTGTTTGTACTATTTTAAAACTCCGCGTTAGCTACGTTACAAAATGTCAATTCTAAACTTTATTGCTTTGAAGTTCTTGGCTGTGCCGAGCTATTATAGAGAATCACGAAAAGGCGTCTTTTCAACGGCGATAGAACGTCTAACAATGCACTTTGGTCTGGAGTACGCTATCTTCAGGTATTCTCAGCCTTTTCAATAGCTGTGAACAATACATACATAATTTGGGACACATTGTTGTAGCCATGAATGATTCTTCTCCTCAAAAACAAAGTATATTTGTTTATGAAAAACACTCTATATATATCACTGATCATCACTTGGTATCCTATGCCTTGGCCAGTTCAACACAAATGTTAATAACTAAAACGTTGTATTATCAAAACCTATTTCTTTTGACTGGCCAGCTTTCTTGTTCTGCTCAGCAACCTCAATCCTGAGGACATTATCGTTTTTGTCTTCATTCTTCTGATCGATAGGAACTGGCATTTCCTCCTTGAGATCCGCTATTGCTACTTCATYCACAACTGCTTCTTTGGYATCTCCTGACATCGTTTCTTCGGTTGGCATACCCTTAGTCTCTGGCAAAGTCATACACAAGATTCCCGCCAAAAACGCTTGTACGGCCATTATTCCAAATGGTAACAAAGCATGAACGCGATTCTACGTATAAAATGAAAGGAGCGAATCAAATAAGAGAAAGGCGCCAATGTTAAGCAATCACTGAAATCGATCTGAAGGTTGACCAGAGTCAGCAACCAATCAGAATTAAACTTGATGAATCAATCAGTCAAATCAACAAAAATGACCGAAAAACAACGAMAACAACAACAAACAAACAAAAAACCAACAACAATAACAAACCAATCGAGCGATGTCCATGTAACTTAAGGCTATCCTGGTCGAAAGAGGAAAAAAAAATGAAGTACCAACTGCTGCAGCAGCAAAATTACTTACCAACTGCACAACGTATGGCGCACTAAATGAGCCAACTCGCCCAGCACCAGTGCAAGTACCCATACCTACATTCCTGTCCAAGACAACATAATACTGATAATTATTTCAAGTAGCTTATTTCAATAAGAAATATCCCAGGAATACTTGCACAGAACACAACGTTCGTTTCAAATAATCGAAACTATACCTGACAACTGTGGGAAATAATTCCGCTGAGTAGACGTAGATAGCAGCAAATGACATAAACACGAAGAATTTTGCTGTCATGGCCATGATGACAATGCCAGCATAATACCCTGCATTGAACGAATTACACACTTAAATTAACACGAAGCTTGGATTCTAGAATCCCCCACTCTTTTTTCTCCAAGTCTCCAAAAGAAAACTAGAGCGCCATAGTCTTATCGCCTATTATAGACCAGATTTCGTATGCACGTTTGTGTGCAAAAAATTACATTACCATGTGGTACGGTTAATTTTGATAGCGTTCTAGTTGAGTTTCCGTAAGCATTTCTATAGTGAGATTGTTTTACACTTCACATATGTTATTAACAAACCTTTGTCTCCATCTCCAGGGTCGTACATTGTAATTAAAACAGCACCAATCGATGCTAACGCAGCCATAATAAGTCCAACAACTACAGTTTTCTTCCTTCCGAAYCTTKTAAACAAATAATAATGTCAATTTCACAAMTCAACTATCACCTMTTRCGTCGTATGGTGCGTCGAGTTCCTCGARCAAGGATCACACGTTGGTTGTTAGGTATTGTGCATCCTTGTTCGGGTACCAACACTAAGGGCGTCATCGTGGATATTCATACGTGATCTCTGTTCCGGGTTCAGTGTTGGGATAGAAATCGGATCACGTGTAAATTAAGAATCCTACCCGTTAGGCAAAAGATAAATCAGTAATAATATAAACTACACATACTTTCCTATAGCATATATCGACGCCCAGTTTGAAGGAATCTCAATAACACTTGTCAAGAAGAAGTTGAAATACATGTTACCACCAAGTGAAGGTGAGGCAAAAGCAACACCATAGTAGACCATGGCATTAACAAACCTGGTAAAACGAAAAAAAGCTGGTACAAATAAAGGAAGTATCACCCTCGTCCACAGGGATCCCAAGAAGCTCTTTACACAAGCTAGTGGTACCCAATCCAAAAGCATMCAAACAAAAGATACATAAATAATAATGCGTTTTAGAGAAGGGAGGGACAAGGGAAATTGGGGCGAGAGAATGTAGTACTACTTTCTGCTCGCCCCAGATCTCCCCCGGACTCAATTCAACATGGTTGCCGAAGATGGTGCACCTACCAAGAATACCAAGAGACAAGAGTTCGATGGATCATTTTCTTGGTTCTAAACAAGTCTCGCAAATCGCCCATTTTTTGATCACCTTCCTGCGTGGGATCATGCAATRGTTCTTCTGGATAKTCTTTCTTGTTTACTTGGGCAATGTGGCGAAGCACCTTYTCGACTTCGCTAAGTTTTCCTTTCAGCAGCAAATACCTGATTGACTCTGGTATAAACCTGAGGATAAAAACGGTGAATGAGATAAACAATAACAAAAACAATAAGGAATATAATAACATGTATTTAAAAACGATAGCAATATGTAAAGATATACCATACCACCATGCTCCAATGAAGATTAAGCCAGGAGCAGAAAGAACAATRACTAATGTCCTCCAGTCTCTTATTAGGTAGGCAATCCCACCCAAAGACAACAGACCCAAAGCCCAGGAATACCAAAGAGCTGTTCCTGCAACGTGTCTGTGTTTTACTCCAACAAATTCCGTCGCAAGCACAAACACTGGCATACCACAGCCACCTTAATTGAAACAATATCATGAAATATTAAAGTGGAAGAATTCGAAAGAGCAGGCTTCACACATTTGCATAGCGTATTTCATATCATAATTACATATTAAGGTGTTGTTATCATACTCTAATAAAGGACTTCTCAATATTTATCAGGAGGGACGAGTGTGGATGTGGGCGTGAGGAAGGGAGGGGGAGTTGAGAAACGAATAAAAAATTCAAAAAAGTTAATCACTACCCCCCTCGCAAACGAAATAAAAGATCGTGACACGCTTTACTTGAGAAATATTCACTTTAATAAGTATTTGGCCAAAAAGCACAGAATTTGACACCGTTGAGTTTTCAGTTTCCAATTTTAAAGTTTTAGTTAATTTTAGACGTTGCCCCCCCCCCCTTTAAGCACATAAAATTAGATTCCCCCTCCTGGATTCTCAGCTTGGCCTCCTGATAAATATTGCGCAGTCCCTAATCATTTTAGTTGACACATACCAATACCAATGCCAACAAGAAGCCGAAAAACAGTAAACAACCAATAGACACGAGGAAATGCACTCAGAAGTCCAAACAGAGGAGCAACAATGGCAAAAATAACCAGAACGGGCTTTCTGCCAAYTTTGTCTGCCAAAATCCCACTGGCTAAAGACATAACCAACCAACTAGCAAACAGAATTGAYGAGGAAACGCTGGCCAGGAATGTGTTGTCGCACACCAAATCAAACTGGTGGTTTAGAATGATATTGCATAGTTTAAGTACAGTATAACCCCGATATTCTTTATTGTTATCTTTCAGTGAGAATCGCATGAAATTTCATTTTTTTCATAAACACATACACAAAATATGAAAATCTCAGCTAGAAAAATCGGGGACGATTAATCGAATGATGTATGGTTGGTTAAAAGAAAATTATTATTTTTTGGAAAACTTGGAATGACGCAGCATCGTTAAACATGCCCTAGGAACAACACAGCAGCATCCACCCCCACCCCCTGACTTGATTCAAAACGGGCTGGATTGCGTTATGTTCCACTGATACACTGAATAAATCAATACTTGCATCTTTAGGATATTCTAATAATAGTCCGAGATAGTAGTATTTAACTAGTGACATTGTCAATTACCTCTGTGACCACAGATGTATATTCGTCTGAAAATACCCAGTCACTTCTATTAAGATGACATCGTTCGCCGTAGTTCTTATGGGTTGGACCCATCTCTCCAGTCCAGTTGCATGCATTACTATTGGGTGCACACTTCCAGGGGGGTTCCGCACCCACAAAWGTCATCATCATCACTTGAAAAGTTATGTTCACCCATTCTCCAAAACTTAATATGRCAATGAGTCGAAGTTGATAGAAACCAAGACTACCTATTCTAGCAAGAACATCGTCGATGGTCAAACCAGCCATTCTGATGAAAAAAGGAGTAACTTTACATTAGAATTAATCTTTTGAAGTGGTTCAAAACTAAACAAATACATTGATCAAATCTGTTAATACAAACTGAAGTGGATGGAATTCCGGTTTTTGTTTAGGCATGAACGGATCGGCTTTGAATACTAAGCCCTGAGATGCAGGCACCATAGGGGTGTAACAACTGATATAGTCTAGCACGTGTCATATTTGAAATTTTGGAGATTTGATTTCTATTAGTCCAGGAGCTATTTTCCCATATGCTCTTATTCTTAGAGTTAGCACAAACAACCGGACAGAAAAGGTTTGATGTCTTCCGATTCTTCAAGATGTCCATTCTGACTCCACTAGACAACTGTGAGGTGTGTTGTAAGAGTCTGGGTCCTAGCTCCTGGATTATATATATATAATAAGAATTATAAGAGGAAAACAACAGCTATGTCGCGTTCTGAGTAGATTTTCCACTTTGAAACGCTACTCATTTTTGATGAGTTTTGGAAAACCTTAATGGAGTCGTGCGTACTTCTTCTAAAATGAAAAAAACAAGTGAATTAGCTACTGTAGTTTCCTAATTAACTCGCTAATTTTAGTGGGAAATTTCTATGTTCTCCAAACTAATCCGTCATGCAAATTTCCCGCCAAAAGTTCGCGCCATTTTAGTGCCCCCGTGTCCCCCCCCCCCTTAAAAAAATCTTTAAAAAATCCTGGATCCGYCCCTGATGACCTTGACCTTGAAAGAAAGATCGATCATTGTTTTAGGGCGAYAAGCATATCAGTATTCAATGTCAAGGTTGACCCGTATGAGATTYTAAAATTTTGAACATTTTATGTTTCGACTAGCAATATTAAAGCGTAATATAGTGTCTACTGGTCAATCATACAACAAA